GGGAGGACATGAACCATGTTATTTCAGGTCCTCCCCGAATTTACACTATGCCTAATCAGTCCCTATCCCAGAGAAAAAAAACACTTCCCCCCTCAAACACGACGTGGTAACCCAATTTCGTGTTAATGTAATCAGGCTGCCATCCTATCCCCTACCGCAGCATTTAATCTGCCACCAGTGGCCTCACCCTAGACAACTATTTTGTGCCTACTAAATTCATTGAAATAGAATACTTGATATATGTTATTACATTTTTAAGTAATTCATCAGCCGATCGCCGTACACTATAAAACTACTAAGGAGCGCCGAATAATCCCAGGCTTGGGCAGTCCGCATCCATCCGCTGCCAGACACTTTCATGACGTCGTCGGTCCATCGTGCCGTTACTTAATGGAAATTAAAATTAAGCGGCATAAATATTATTCAATAACTTCCAGACAACTTAATTTGAGATGAAAAGGATCTTAGAAAGAGATTAACATGCAATACTAACGTAACGAACTTTTACGAATGGTTTTATTTATCAAGGCTACCATCCTCAGATGACATTGATACCTGCATACACTCTAATGTGCACTTAACAGTGACCGCTAACTTATAATAAATAATTTACCAATGGCTGTAAACTCATATAACATTGTAAATGTAAATATTCGAAGGCCTCTGTAAACGTGGCTGGCGTGATCTGAAAATTAGCCTCTAATTAGGACTGTCGTCTGTCATCCTCGCTTAACGAAAATATACAGACGTCACATGCACCACAACAATATATTACAATTTGCCCATTTGTGCGAAGATTGGTGAAGGAAATAAATTTTTAAACTGATTTTGTATTGTTAATTTTAAAAAGGTATCTTTTTGTCAAACCTTTTAGTATTCTAAATAATTTATTCCATGCAATAATGTTTTCTGCGGTCAGCTTTTATTGTTGCAACATTCTTGGCTTATAGGAAGATCATCTTCGCATTTTTTTTCTGTCTTGGGTTGTTCAACAAATACTTAGTCTGTATATGATTATATAATTATGAGATAACACCGGCGTGGTGACGGATTAAGAATACAGAGTGTCACCACCCCTATTCATCCCGTGGGTGTCGTAAGAGGCGACTAAGGGAGCGAATTACGCAGGACAACAGCACTGCAGAGAGAAGGAAAACTTGACACAAACCCTATCCCAACCCGTCTGGCCAGTGTGGTATAGTAGGCCAAAACCTCCCTTCTAAGGAGAGGCCTATGTCCAGCAGTGGACTGTTAAAGGCTGTTAATGAACACCGTCTTGAAATGAACTTGCAGTATTAAATTAGGCAAAATTATTTGTTCAGAATATACTCGTATTTTTACTTTAAAAAACAAAGATACTTATTGGTACCCAGTAAAAACATTAAAAGTTTTCGTTGAAAGAATACCTTCTTTAGATTTGAAATAGCTTTACAGTGCTTTTATTTTATAGTTACTGCTAAAGTTTCACATATAAAATTCTATAAGCGTAGGTATATCACAGTATCCTTGCTTAGGATATCTGGCAATACTATCTTTAGAAATTACGTAATATTGTACCAATAATGATGTTGGTTGTATGTTTTTTTCTTTGTAGGCAAGTATTCCATTTTTGTTTGAAACGATCTTGTACTCGACAAGCATTGACCCAAAAATGTCGCTTTGAAAAGCTTTTCGATCGAGAATAGTTTATTCATAGTTATGAAAATTAATTTCATGGCAACAAACAGAAAAAAATGTGTATCAAAAGATCATGAATTACTGTTTAACATCAATGATTCAACCAATTTGGTTAGCAGACTAGTTTAAACTACATTTCGTGATTAGGAAAATAACTTATACAGATCACTATATCAATTTTAAGTTTACTTTAGAAGTTAGTGGATAAATAAATTCACAGATGACATTGAAGACATTTACGTCACAATACTTATGCTTACAAAAGGTCCCCGGACGTTGTCCTGTTGGTAAAGGATACTAAACATTCGTGCTATACAGCATCAGGTGGTAATCACCAATGAATATTCAATGATAATCATGCAACGATAGTTGATTTCTACATCATCATGTCAATTCGACTGCATTACACTCAATTTTATTATCATGTAAACGTGTGTCATCAAACTATAGAAGTAATAATTATCTTAATATACAATTTACACTCAAGGATGAATAAACTGTTGATAATAAAATATTAACTATTATTTATCTTTTACACTTTTATAACTACGGATGCGTATAACGATTACAATTTTAATGAATACGATGGGGGAAAATGTTGTTAGGAAGTATGTTCTAAGGAAAATTATTAATTTACTACTGCCTAGGTGGTGCACTGAATATTTACTCATGTGTGTTTTGTACGACTGCCGTACTGAGGTTGTTTTGTTCTAATTTTATGGGTCCTCTTTGAGCTAACAATGTCTTTGTCTGAGTTTTTGTGCTCAAAACTTTACGAACCAAAACTTCTTTTCGACAAATTATTTATCAATTAGTACTGTAGCAAACTATTGATTGTTTTAAATGTTTTCATTCCTTAATAAAGGTATAAGTGGGATACCGAGAAGTTGCTCTATGCTACGTTTTGGGGCATTTTAGTCGAAAGGAGTTCAGAGGAGAACCCGACTCAGGTTCCTCATGAAAGTCTGATAGGTACTTTAGTTTAGTTTTTGGTGACGGGTTGGAAAACCCCTTCGGTTCTCCTGCTCCCCGGGGACTCAGGAGCCAGGAGTCTGGAGATCCGCAAATTGTTGTACTGAGTCTGGGTGTTCTATGTCAGTTCATGTATGTTTGTGTAGCCCTCCGCAACTCAGGCCGGCCTCCGGTGTCCTACTCTGGGAGGACCAGGACCATGTTATTTCAGGTTCTCTCCGAATTGACACCATGCCTAATCAGGGCCTATCCCAGGGGAGAAACACTTCCCCCGCACCCCAACACTTTCCCAATTGCGTTTTAATGCAACCTGGCCGGCATCCTATCCCCTACCGCAGCATTCTGGTGAGAGGTCCCCACTCTCTAGCGGCCCTCGGCCCCGTTGGCTGCTGGTATCGTCGCCGAAGTTCTCTACGCTCGGAATCTTTCTAGAGCATTACAGCTTTACAAAAAGAGACCACTGTGCCCCTCCCTCTTCACCCGCAAGCGTGGCAGAAATTATTCCAGCGTGTGCTGGGCGGAGTCCCAGCCGGCTGCGCAGTGCTGGCATTGTGCCGTCTCGTCACACAGGCAGGCGAGTAACTTTTTACAGCGACAACCGACATGCAGTGTTCGCAGACCCGGGCAAAAGCGAGTCAATAAACAAGTCACAATTCGAACTAAAATTATAGAGACCGCATTTTACTGTAGAGAGCAATTCTATGCAATTTTCTAGGTTATAAATAAACCTAACCTTACTCAGTGTATATTTTACATGTTTACAACTGTTGCTTATAGGAAGTGTTTTTGGGAGGTTAGCTTGTCTGAACCAAGCCATAAGCGTCTATGTATCAACAGAGACAAAAAACTTAGTTTGTAATCCAACCACTAAGTTATCAATATTCAAATTTCTTTTATCATACGGATCTGTATGCATTATAAACCTATTAATTATCCCTTGCAACGATCTTGGCAATGACTCCGACCTTCGAACTACGTAATATAATGGGTCTATTGAATCGAGTCCTGTCGTAAATCGGCTTTATGTCTGTCTAATGATAATCAACGACAATGATGTGCCGCACCTTTACAAATCCATTATGAAGTGGGTTGAATGGACTACTGTGTGTGAAACCACAAATGGTTTCCGTTGCCGCAGGATTGACAGTATTAAGTACTATATTGAATATAAAACTATTCTAGAGTTGTACATAGAATTCTAGAGCTATACAGCAATCGTTAGATTTCAGTCCTTAAAAAAATTATTTCCTTCTAAGAATTTTTATAAAACTATTGCCTCCGATTTCATGTTCTAAAGCTTATATTAGAAGAAGTTACGCTTTTTAAAACTTAAAAAAAAATAATTTTTCCAAATTCTAAATACCAAAACGATTCCAAAACCAAATTCTGCTTTCGGGGCGCTCGTAAATTGCATTAAGTGCCGGCACTATATAATTTTTTGTCATGTATTTAGTTGCGGTAATATCTTCGTAAACCGTCATGTTTTCGGTTTAATCATGATCACGGTTCACGGTCACCTTTAAAATATTCCAGAACTGGAACCAGCCCCATGTTAAAGCTTGGTTTCACTTTGATTTATTTACCTGGATTAAAGTTCCAGAAGATAACTTATGAACAATACTAAGGCTAATCTCTCTTCCCAAAGTCAAGAGGTTAAGTGTACCGTGTAGGAATGTACTAGTAACCTCGTAATTAACTCGAAACCCATTTAACACAAGCACCTACGCAGTTTAGTGAAAGAACCCACATTAGGAGATTCTGATATAAACTTATCACCCACTTGTAACTACTATCAAGTCTGAAAACAAACTTGCAAATCTTTCACTTACAAGAAATTTAATGACCATAGTAGTTTCTTTTTCATAGTTTTTGTCAGGAACCGTGGCGTAGAGCAGTGCTGGCAATCTCCTTACACTTTTTACAAGTTACCAGCTTTAATTGATACTTATAGTAGAAGCACACAATTAAAGACAAAAACGAACAATTTGTGTTAATTCGCCCGTAAAATTGTCATTTATAAAAACATGGTCCGCCATTTAATTAATGCGTTATATTTACTTTTTTCGTGATTATATCGTTAGGAAAACACCGCAAATTGCCTTGACTTATACCAAAACATTGTAAGAAGTAATTTGGTTAACAAGAATGTCACGATATCCTGTAACATTGTTTTATATTAATGGTCTCGCTTGTGTAAAAAATAATAAATATAACAGATGACAATCACGACTCTTGCAAGGATTACGGTACGGGACCAAAAATAATATTGGATTGAGTTGTTTCTCTTTATATTTGCAATTGTTATTTGTATTATAAGTAAAATTAAAATGTATAAATTTTCTATCTTCCAGATCTGCTTTACCGAAACTACCTTCCTGAAGATCCTGACGAACAAGACACGATCCTTCGTAAGCTGTCCGACTACTGTGGCAAGTCCATGACCAATTACACTACGCCAGATCAAGAACCACCCTTCAAATGGGACTTCTATCATTCTTTTTTCTTCTCTTATACTGTCGTCAGTACTATTGGTAAGTTTAATGGTCATTACGTTAATTATTTTGTTTTAATTGCTTGTATTACATCCATCCATCGATATTGTCCAAGTCACAATGAATTTAAAGTCACATCAATATTCGTGACGTATTCATACTTACTCAAGATCAGAGATATAACTTATTTTAGATACTAGTAAGCATTTGAAATATAAATACAAGACACAACATAAATATTCTTTAAATATTTTTCAATATTTCTATTTAAGCGACTTTAAAAGAGGTTCTATTTTCGACTGTTTTATATTCGGTATACCTTCACAGCTGATTTTTGTACTATGTATATAGTTACATAATTTTGGTATCTTAGTATTCTACAAATATCATAGCTGCTGAAATACGGTATTCATTTTCAGAATCAAAATGTGTAAAAAGTGACTGTAGGAAGAGAACGCATTCTTAGTTTTAATTGATCAAAGTAACTTTGCCTGCTACCATCGCCACGTGATTTTATTCTTGTGCTATATTAGCGTCGTACTAACATAGTTACCTATAATATTAAATAAAATATTAAGTATTTGACCACAATTGAGGATGGCCACATAGAATTATAAGAATTCTTTTACAAGGCCCGTTTTGACTTTGTACTATACATATATGTATTTTGTAAGTGGCAACCGAATCAGAGAGCTATATGTACTATTAGAAATGTATATAACATTGATAAGCTAAATCAAATACCTTGTAAAATAGTAACCTTAAATACGTATTTTCATTCCATAACTGATCAAAAAATGGGAAAGTAATTTAAGTTAGGTACATCATCCTGATTGATCGGGTATCAATTTAAAAAAAAAGAAACATATTCGGCTATAATCTGTATCTTTAGTAGCATTTTGAATCACCAAAGTCTAGTGAAATTAAAATTGAAACTTTACTTCATACTTAAACAAAGGAGTCAGGCTTGCGTGCTTTGAAGTAACGCCAAGATCTATTTTTAATCTGTTGCACTGATTTGCAATTTACACCGTTTATTAATTATTTATAATTTTTCCTGAATCATTAAGCAGTGTTTAAGACATTATTATAAGATTATTGCTTTCAGATTATTTGTTTTTTTATTTATTTACTACTTTTATATTTACTTGACTTAATTTTTTTGTATTACTTTTTTCAAAATTTAGACAACTTTTTAGTGGGTAAAAAATTCAATTCTCGAGAGGCAGTACAAAATGCCTTTGCTCTTCAAATTTGCCTCTTCTTTGTTGCCTCCCGTCCAGCTGATTTTTACAAGAATAAACTGCCAATGCGTTGGAAAAGATGCGTCGATTGCATGGGTGATTACTTCGAATAACAGAAATAAAAAAGTTTGAAAAAATAAGTACTTTCACTTATTATATATTATAAAGAAAATTATACCAATGTAGCACGATTTTATACAAGTCTGAAGGACTTTTAAGGCTCTCGAAAACACTACACATGTCCAACAGTGGACATGCCTATATGAAATGTTATCACCATTAAAACAAGTGTTCAAAAAGATTTTTTTAAAATTGCAGGTTACGGCAACTTGGCGCCTACCACTCATTTAGGAAGAATTCTGATGATATTCTATGGTTTGTTCGGTATACCCATCAACGGTATCCTGCTTGCCAACCTTGGTGAATACTTCGGAATGCAGGTACTGACATAAATGAGCATGCATTTTACGTCGCATTAAAATCTTTACACATTATATAAACATTTATGTATGTAGTATTAAAACACTAATAATAAATTATAATGTTAAGGTGACATTTATGTTAAATCGATTTATTTTTATAAATAAGTTTCGGAGTAATTGTCTGCACTCGTGTTAAGTTATTATCTATTGATTTTTTATTTTGACAGTATTGATTTTTGATTATGGAGAAAAGGTATCCTTTTTCCTATTCCTATTCATCCTATTTATTTGAGTATTCCAAATATCACATTCCTCTAAGCCTAAAATGGTTCTAAAAATAAGTACAAACAGCATTCTTCACGTAATATACATTAGTATCCAGTTTTGAAAATAAAAAAAAATGTATAAAAATTATAATTATTTCATTAGATACGAGTAGTCTAGTAGTAAACATAGTACTTGTAGTAAACAAGAGATATAATTTAATCATAGCTATAACAATTTTACTGCTCAGACAAACACACATATATGTATGTATCTATTCAATTCTTCAACCACTTAAGTTCTTAACTAACCTGTTTTCCATGTTACATTTCCAGCTCATCTCCGTTTACCGTAAATACAAAGTTCGTAACGAAAAGCGAGCCCACAACCTAGATTACTACTTCACCAACCTTGGAATGTTGGGTCAGATTTTCCTCTATCTAGTTCCTGGCTTCTTATTCTTCATCTTCTTGCCCGCCTGCATATTTGTCGTGTTTGAGGAATGGGACTACGTGGCTTCAATCTACTACGCCTTCGTCACGCTCACTACTATTGGTTTTGGTGATATAGTAGCTGGTAAGTTTCTCATATCCCGTATCTCACACACGGTCGTCTGATCCCAAACTAGGCAGAGCCTGTACTATGGTAACCAGACTGCTGTTAAACATACTTATATATATATTTTTAAATAGATACATATTATAGATATTACACCCAGACACAGAACAAATGACCGTGCTTATAACACAATTTTTGTTCTGGGTGGGAATCGAACTCACGACCTCCGTTTTAGCAGTCAAGGTCACTAACCACTAGACCAACAGGCCCGTCTTATTTGTTAACATTACGTTAATTGTTTATTTTTTTCATTAATTTGATTTAGAGATCTAATTCTAGCTAAAAATTCAAAAATATTTTTAGGAAATTTCATCGATATATTTGAGATGCTTAAAGAAATACATTACAAATAGTTTTCTACGTTGATTACTACTACGGAAAATATAGCCTGACAATAAAAACTCACTTCTAATAATAAGTAAACATACTCGTATTATCAAGAGCAAGGTTTGGCATTTGTAAGACAGTCTCAAGCTAAAAATAAAGTCTTTATTTAAAATCACTAATATCTGCGAAGCTGTTATTTTCAAGTTAGATAACTTGAAACATTTCGTCCCAAATGTAACTTCAAGTGACCATGACGAGGTCATACCGAACAGAGAGCCAACATTAATTGGAGAAAATAGACTTTCTAGTATCTGTCATGAAAATAGAAAACTTAGTTCAGAAACTAGTTCCTTTCTCTCTCGATCTATTAAAAGTAGCACGGAACTGTTACGTTCGTTGCAGAAATCTTACGAAAAGACCTATATTTCATGACTTTCATGAGATCATGAGAATGAAAGAAAAAATCAAATAAAAAAGGCAATAACACATACATACACATGTTAAATACAAATAACACAAGTATAAATAATTCTGTTTATTCTGCTATGTTGGTAAACAGTTGTCAGAATCACTTGTAACCGCAGACACTTGTCGGCCATGTATACTTCAATGCTGTCTGTATTTTTTAATTTAATGTTTATGTTCGATTCTAAAATAATTTTTAATTTTCAGGTACCGAGAACAAAGGTTTTAAATACGGATACTTCTGCACTTACCAGATATTCCTGATAGTTTGGATTACCTTCGGCCTCGGGTACATTGTCATGTTACTCGGCTTTATCACCAGCGGGATGAGGTCTGAGAGAATACACAAAATTGAACAAAAATTTGCGTATCAATTTAAAACTACGCAGAACAAAATTCTACAAGGATTCACTAGAGATCTCTCTGCTTTGAGGAAAATTATTAATGAAGCTAATTTAATCAAAATTAAGGTAATTATGAATTGTTTTGTCTGGTTTTTTTTTTCATTCTTTCATTATGTTCACAATGAATGTAAACCTGTTTGAAAACCTCTAATATGATACCTGGTTAGGAAAGTAAAGGAATATAGCACTGAAAACCAATTGTTAGACCTACATTTTATACGATATGTTTTTTAAAGATAGGTAAATAAATTATAAAATACCGATAATTCATTCATTCATTCAAATATAGAAAAAAGTTTACAGTGTACATTTTTTTTGCCTTATTTAAATTATTTGACAAATGTAATCGATAAAATCAAAAACGAAAGCTTCTTTGTTGACGTTATTTTTGAGTGTCCTCTTAACTAGTTTTTAATATTTCTTTTAATTCTTTCCAGCCTGTTTATGTAGAAGCTTCACCTACGATTCCCCGTAGCCAAAGCTGTCCTATTTTTACATACGATGTAGAACCAAGAGGTCCAATTTTCAAAAGAAAACGAGCTAACTCTGAAAATATTCAGCTTGCTGCAAAAGATATGCTCCGAATACAATCCGACACAGATTTGCTTGGAATTGACAAAGAAAAAACTTTCACAGCTTCTGCTATAGTAAAACCCGCAGAGCTATTAGCAAGAGTAGTAAACGTACTAGGAGGTTTAGAACATCAAAATGCAGTACAAAAGGATAAAGGGGTACATCTATTTGATGATGATCATATTTTGGCTAATGAAATAGGACCTACATTTAGCATAGGGCCAAACCGTATTACGAGGCACAGAGCACTAAGTATAGCAGTACCAAATTATAGAAAAGAATTAGTGGCTCAAGATGCGTACAATGAATATACATGGACTAATGGTGAATCAGCAGAGAAATTCAGACGAGAGGCAAATATCAGAAGTGGAAAACTATCACTTCCGTCCAAACCGGAAGATAGCGCACCAGCTCAAAACTTAATTTCAAGGTTTTTCTTTAGGAAACCTAGTTCCAATGAAAGTTCTACAGAGGTAACTAAAAATTCAATGAGGGGAAAAATAGCTAGTTCACAGGTGGCTAATGAAGATTCAGTTAATACCAAACCTAGACGTAGAAGTATATTTTCTTCTTTAAATTTCGGTTCAGAGGATAGAAGCGAGGCAGATGCATATAAGGACCAAACTAGAAAAGGAAGGCACAGCATTTTTCCTACTTTTGATTTTAATGATGATCTCGACAGTGGCTCCAGTGCTTACCTTGATGCAACGAGTCGTGGCCGCCATAGTATATTTCCGTCATTCAATTTTGCAGAAGATGAAGATGCATCACGTTACAAGGAAAGGACGAGGTCTGGCCGTCACAGCATCTTTCCGACCTTTGATTTTAGTGACCCTGAAGATGATGTTGGCAGCTATAGAGAAAATTCTAGAAGAGGTAGACGAAGTATTTTCCCAAGTTTCAATTTCAGTGGCCTCAATAGTAATGATGAAGATACTGTGGATGAAGACGAAGTTCAAAAATACCAAAACAGAACGAAAAAAGGACGACACAGCTTGTTTCCAACTTTTGGTAGGTCTAAAAAGAACGACGATGATGTTATGCCTGAAAGCTCAGATGAGTTAGTTGACTACAAGAACAAAACACGCGCTGGACGAAGCAGTTTGTTTCCTTCATTTGGCAAACAGCGTAAGAATAGTTTAGCTACTGATAATGAAGACTTGGAAGATAGCATAAAACAGTTTAATGAATACAACAGAAGTAGCCGCAATCATTCATTTGAGAGTTCTAATCAATTTACAAATGACTTGGAACGATATAAAAATAAAACAAAGCAAGGGCGGCGCAGCTTATTTGATCCTGATGTAAATATATCAAATCTTCCTGAATCTGAACAGGTTGAAGTACTGGAGAATACAAGTGTTGCTGATCTTTTAAGAGCATTGGCCGTTTTAGAAACTGCTGCTCAAGGGTCATCAATAGGTGAACCGCCAGGTCTTTTAGACTTTATAACTGATCCTAACGCTATTGCATCACGGAGACGTGGTTCTTTACGTCCTGAATTTATGACACCAACTCCTCCAAGCACTGACAACTTAGAGGAAAATAGATCAAAGCATGTTGATGATTCTGGGCCTAGACGGAGAAGAATTTCGGCAAGGTCTGCAGCTCCCCAGTTTACTCCCACATTGGCTACTGTTGTTGCTGGAGCAGAGTTACAAATACCGACTGCAGCTGCTTCGAGAGAAAATCGAATGACTATGTTGCAACAACCTCCACCTCCTTATTCAGAAACTCCCCCTGACAGTGAAATATCTAAACCTCGAATAAGAAGATTTTCTCCAGCACCAGGTGAACCTGGTCGATCTACTGGTCCAGTGCCAAGACTCTTCTCACGCATGCGCAGAGAAGGCGTTAATAATGAGGAAAATGATAGTAGACGTTGTAGTTTAACTGATATAGTTGTTGACAACTTCAAAGATAAAGACAATACGTAACCCATGTGCCTTTTGTAGATAAATTTTAATGCAATTAAATATTTAAATTATAATTTAGTTAAGTTAAGTTTAAATTAAGAAGTTTATAAATAAAAACCGTCCAATGCAGAATTGTAGTTTTTCTACCTGTTAATGTAAAAAATCGTAAGCGAATTAGCGTAATAATGTATGCTAATGAAAGAAACATTCATTTTATTGGCTATCAGTGTTGAAGCTAGGAAATTTAGAAAAGACACTGTATTGGGACTGACTGTCTGACTAATAGTTGAAAATGTTAATGATGTTTATAACTAACGATTAATCCTTACTTGTAAACCATTATTAATGCATTCAGTCAACACATACTCATTAAACTAAATGTTAGAACTGATAACAAAATAGGATTAAAAATATAAAAAGTATGGCATAAAAAACAAACTTTGAAAACGAATGGAAGAAACTACTTTAATATCTAGTTGTTATTACAAGAACAGGGGTTTTTTGCCGTCCGTGGGTTATACCATTAAGTTCATACGCAATATGTGACAATATTTTACGCCTAAGACAAAAGATACTAGTTTTATAGTCTCTATTTTAAAACACAACAATTTGGTAAGGGCGGCGACAGCTGTAGTACGTTATTTGACTGCCTCGATTGTGCAGTGGTAGCATATGCGACTGCTGTGCTGAGGTCTCAGGTTCGATTCCCAGGTCGGACCAAATATTTGACTGCACGGATGGCGTAGTGGTTTAGGCGGTCACCTCTCCGCTTCGATCCCCGCATGAAACAACACTTTGTGTGATGCCTGATAATATAATTGTGTATAAAATAAAATAAATAAATGAAGAGAATAATAACAATATTTTCGGACATCTGACACACTACGCCATCTAGTTTCAAACTAAGCAGAGCTTTTACCATGAAAGTAAGAATGAATAATATAATACTTTTATGCTTTTTTGTAAATTTTGTAAATACACACATTAATTATATTATGATTATCATTTGGTAAAATAAAGATTATTTAATGGTCCACATCGAGCACGAGCTAATAAGAGAATATGTGGATAGTAATTTATGTTATTTATTGACACATGGACACGTCTTACACATGTATGTACGTAGTATTATAGTACATACACGTATAGTACGTACATACGTAGTATAGTACGTAGTAGTATATTTATTGCCTACTGCATATACATAAACAAGTCCTCGACATGCGCTCCAATGCATGTGCGTACTTGTTTTCTTATTTGCGTAAAAACCGACGGTATATATTTTACAAAGTAAGACCTGCTGACATAAAATGGCGCGTATAGATAGACTATTGTCGGATTTTTTTGGAGCTCCAGCTACTATGTATAAAGCTAGTGGTGGGAATACAGGTGGTTATACACCGATTATATATAATTTGGATCTGATAAATGGAAAGGAGTTGCATTCACACCACTAAGTTTTTGGGTATAACTCTAGACTCTAAATTGCAGTGGGGCCCACACGTTGATGGATTTATATTATATATATATTGACATTTTTAATTTTATTAATATATTCCTGACTACAAATTAGTGGTATTCGCTGATGACACCAACGCAATTATAAAGAGAAATAACATGGAAGTTTTGTCCGATAAAGTAAGCAAACTATTAGAAGGCTTTTCGCAATGGTTTACCGTAAATAAACTTTTAATAAATACCGCAAAAACTCAAATTATATTATTTAAGAGAACGTCACGAAATACCGCCACTATGGAAATAAAATTAAATGGTAATAAAATTGATCTGGTTAAAGAATTACAATTTTTAGGTATAAAGATAGAAGACTTGCTGAATTGGAAAGCTGAATTGAATGCAGTAACTGCCTCTATATCGTCTGCATGTTACGCTATAAGAACCCTTAGAGACGAACTAGATATAGAATTACTAAAAATGGTGTACTATGCGCTTGTGGAATCAAAATTAAGATACAGCATCCAATGTTGGGATAATAGTTATGGTTATAATATTCAAAGATCTTTAATTTTACAAAAATGAGCTATTCGCACTATGGTTCGAGTGCCCAAAGAGAAAGTTGTCAACCATACTTCACAAGCCTAGGAATTCTTACAGTTCCTAGCCTCCATATTTTAGAGGTATTAAGTAATTTTGCAAATCATATAGGTAGTTTTGAGAATAGCACTGAAAGAAAAGACAGGGAAGAGACACGTATAAATGATTTTAAAACGGATATTATTCCCCATTTAAATGTCGTAAAATACAACGCTAGATATCAAAGCGGTACAGCTGTATAATAGGTTGTCTGAGGATATAAAGAGAGCGTTATATGCAGGTTCCTTTAAAATAAAATTTAAAAGCTTTCCTTTTGGACAGATGCCTTTATGCTATTGATGAATTTTAACATAGAGTGAATTTATCTGAATTAAATTATCCAAAATATGTTTATGAAAGATAACCAGTGACATTATATTATTTAGAAATTTTTCCATTATTACTATTACCTATATTAAAATGACTGTTGCCAAATGCTAATTATATTGCATGAATGATAACTAATGATGACACAATTATGTTTCTTTTTGTTTAAATACTATTACTATTATTTTATTAATTATTTTATTTCAAATTATATCATTTGAGTGAATCCTAGCTTAATCTTAGTAGATAAAGGAAGGAATATTTATTTTAAAGAACTTCATTTTATCTCATTTGATTGAATTCGGAATGAGGTGATCCCGGAGAGAACCAGAGTCACCGACATAAGCTACTGGATTAGCAAGCTGAAGTGGCAGCATTCTACTATTTTATGTTCACGCCAAGCCACTGTCATACCACTGACACGCTATTGAGATGCCATCGAGTGGCCATTGGCATCGGTATAAATATCGGTAGTCTACACCAAGAAAAACAGCAACGATAATTCTATTAATTACTGTGTATTATGTCGTTGTAGTTTATACATTTGTATCAATAAATATGATAAATCCATGACAACTTTATTTACCCAAATTAAAAAAACGTAATACATTTTCAAATTATAAGGAAATGATTTATTTATTTTTCCAAATATGGTAATCTTTTTGATATCACCACTGATGAGCCACTGCGATTCCATTGCCACTGTAAAGACACTGAGTTAATGTAGACTACCGATATTTATACCGATGCCAATAGCCACTCGATGGCATCTCAATAGCGTGTCAATGGTATGACAGTGGCTTGGCGTGAACATAAAATAGCAGAATTGAGACCCAGGTAGAGTGACGATTTGCGCAAAATGGCTGGCGGGAGCTGGATGTGAGAAGCCAAAATCGATCGAAGTGGCGTGCAATGGGAGAGGCCTATGTCCAGCAGTGCACTGCGATAGGCTGATGATGATGATGATTGAATGCAGTCAATCGGGTTTCTTTAGACATTACTTTACAAACAAGAAAGTCACCGCATTCCGTGTTTTGTGACCAATCAGATTTAATTTTGTAATTCCTTTGTGGCGACTCCCACATACAAGGAAGTAGAAACATACTACAGCGCCATCTAACGAAGACACACCGAACTACGGGGTAACTCTTGAATGAGAATTCCTAATCCTGATAGATATACTCGTATATATGTAGATAGATAAATTATAGTTATTTTAGTTTAGTTTATACTTATATGATGGAAGATTTTAATCAAAAGATAAGTGCCGTAAAGTATAAAATTAGAATGTCGGCGTTTTATAAATATGATTACTTTTTAACGAATTATTCATTTGAAATGTTTGAAATTTATCTGTTTTGTCTTGTAATTTGTTGTAAAACGTGATAATTATTTCCAATGTGTATCAGATGCATCAATGTTTTTTAGGGTAGCCAGTTATAGATGTAAACAATGTGATACTTTTTCTTGTGAAGTTAGTTATAATATTTTGTTAATGAGATAACAAAGAAATAGCAAGATATTCTAAAAACTTTCTACAAAAAAATGCTGTTTATCAAATGATAAGACTGTATGTTAGATTATGTTAGACATTTGTAAATGTCCTTTCCTAACAAAAAGTGAAAAAAAATGTCATACATTACATCATTATTACCAACTTCACAGTAGAATGTACTTTAAGAGGAAATAGTCATCAGTCTAGATGCCAATATTACTTATATTAGATTCTAAGCAACTTCCTTAATCGTCCAAGGTCTAATTATCAGGTTAATCGTAGCAAATTATTAATTACGACATATTACAGACTCCATGGCCAAGAACAGATAGAGCAGGGACACCGTAATAAAGAAAAATAAAAACAATATTGGTAAGACAATATTTATTTAGTACCTTTAGATCTCTTTAGACTTAGGTATTAGACAGCAAAGACTTAATTATCATACTAAAAGTAGCGTAGTCATTACACTAATATAGTGTACTTAAAACACAATAAATACCTATTCAATTACTATTATTGTTTTATGCTTTACCCAGTCTGTTTTTCGAAAACACGAGAACAAATGTATGGACAAACATTTTTTTTCTATCTATAGATTTATGTTCTTATAATTTGATCAATAAGATTACGACAATAGGTTTACAAATAACCTAACATATTAAAAAATGTGATTGAAACAAAAACATTAACACTATTGGTGGTGCCCAAACCTAACCTAATAATGAGTATTTAATTTTTTTACAGTAAATCAGTAACATAATACTATAGATTATTTACAGAAATGTACTAAAAAAATATAGGTACGTAGTTGTGGAAGTATTCGATTAAAATAATCGCGTCATATGACCTGTTTTTGCGATGTTCAACTTGAAACAACCGAATTAAATTTCTATTGATTTATTCTAATAAACAATAACACCATTTTGCTCGCTTGGAATGTCATTTCGCTTGTCGTTAAGACTTCGCATAAACAAGCCATCAGCTCTGTACAGTGCAGCAAAACTGCGAATCCATAACAGTATAATATCACTGTGTGCACAGTCAATTTTCACGAGATTGTCTCTTCGATACTTCAAGTATCAAAGCTATCTTTCCGAACATTTTTATCTAAACTAACGTCGGAATAGCACTGATCTACGTTGCCGTTGTCATCTTTGATAAGAGATTCGAATATTGAGATTAAGTTGTCTAAACCGATGAGGTAGCCGTCTTCGTGGTTACCAACTTTCCAGGTAGTGTTATGGTCTATATTCTGGTTCTCAGGAACCGGGACAGTTTTAGCGAAGTCAATCATCCAGATAGAAGCTCGCTTCTTGTCGTGGACGAAGAGCAGGGAGCTGCCGATCAGCTCATGGTTTCTGAAGAATGAAGATTCCTGCAGCGTTGCTCTGATGCTCTTCAGTCTTTCTAAGTATCTTGGCTGTGAAATAAAATTCAGCTTTATAAAAATTGTAAAGTTAATTGTAAATTATAAGATTGATAGTGAAGATTAACAAAAGAAGTTTTCTGAATAAAATAATAATTCTTATGGATTTGAGTAAAATTTCAGCATAAGTTGATGGATAAATACTCAGAAAAAAACATTTACTTTAATTGTAAAACTCACCGCTGCGTTAGGAAAACTGCTGATGAAATCTTTAAAAGCTTCAACGATTTGATCTCTAGTTTTTGTGGTCTTAAAATCTTTAGAGCTGGTGCCATCGGCTTTCTTAACGCCGTCTATTCGGAAGCCGAGAGTGGAAGTCGAGCTGATGGTTTCCCGCCATATCATGTACCGTGGTTTAGTGACGCCTTTACTCCTGTGCTCTTCATCGGTGGGTGCTTTTGGATCTATCTGAATCATCTTTTCATACATGTCCTAGAAACAAAGATAATTACATGATTATCGTTTAGGAACTGGAACACATTAAAACTACTAAACTATTCTACTAACTAACTAACTAAAATGCAATTACTATATACTTTAAGGGTCAAAGTTTTTATTGCTCAGTTATTAACAAATTCCTTTTGCTACGATAACAATAAATTTATGACGTAATGATCAGTGACGTCAGTGCATATTTACAGAGTTATTTATATACATTTTATTTATTTGAAGCACAACAAGATTAATATCAGATATTCAGTATTTTATATGTAGTAGTAATTGTCGTTTAAATGATAGTATATTATGACTGCGAGACTATTTTTACCGCCAGTTCGCAACATAATTACGTACATATGTTACTTGATATGATTGACGTACACGAGGGTCATTAAGGCAGGTTTATCAATCTAGGCACACATTGACATTGTCGGTTAAGCATGAACTGTAACCGTGAACTTATAGCACGAGGAAAGTCGGCGCTTGAATATTGATTACAGGGTTTAGCATATTTCTGATTAGTAAAATATATCAATTTACACTTCCTTCGTTCTAATATTATAAAAATAGTATGCGTGATAAAACAAAATGGCTGTGCGGCGGATGGATGCGGATTGCCCAAGACCGGGATGGTTGGCACTCCTTTGGGGGGCCTTTGTTCAGCAGTGGACGGCAATAGGCTGATGGTGATAATGATGATGATGCGTGCTGGGTTTGATCAGCATTAATTTTTATTCTTATTGAATATAAAAAATCAGATTTGATTTTATAAGATAGGTAACTTTTGTTAAAGTAGAAAGCTACTTTAACAAAGGGGCAAAGGCCTCTTATATCTGTATAAGACAACATTCTCAAACTGCCAAATACGCTAATATTTCTAAATACATTATCTGCCTACGACTTCGAACGCTTATTTAGGTATCTACAACAAAAAATAGTGATATACATGTTAAGTGTTTTAGACCGAATGTGTTCAATTATTTCATTTTATATTCAGTCTTTAGCGGAGACTGTACTCGATTTGTCTCAAGTTATCAACAATTTTATTTGGTGTGGGATATAGGTATAATACTGCTATTATTAAAACGACTGAAAAATACTGTAGCTAAAAATAAAGAAAACCGTTTTAGTATAAAAAATTGCATAAATATTAAATGCTAAATCGTTGTTTAAGATACATATTTTATTGCAGTATCCAGAAATAGCCAAATCTAGTCCGCAAATGTAACATACATATAATGTCAATAAACCATTAATAAAATATACTAATATAAACGAATACTAATGTGAATAAAGTAACATGATTATTAGATGTATAATGGGGTAAACTCAGAAGATTTATTGAGTCCTGTTTTATTATAAATGCTAGTCTAGTCTTAAAGTTTTTTTACAAATAGCTCATGCTAGAATCCAAATATATTTTTTTGAAGAGTATTGCAAAGGTTAGAGTAAAATCAAATTTTCATTCTCACTTTTCTTAACTTCGTCTTCTCCTTAGCCTTGGCAAGTTCTTCCTCCAAGTACGTTCTGACTCCAATCTTGCAATCCATGACGCAAGGACTGTCAAAATCGCTCAGCAAGTCTTGTAGTTGTAAGTAGACTGTATGGAAGTGCTTGGTTAAGAAAATATGGAAAAAGGCTATTCTTAGAAATTGACGTATTATTTTTTAGATATTTTTTTGCATACCAACGTATATTTTTATTGTAGTCTATTTTTAAATATAGGCACGGAATTAAGTTTTTAAAATATATTTAGATAAACTTCTAGTCAAAACAAAATTATTATTCTCCAGAAAATTATAATCCTTGAATGTTTAAAAGTAGAGTGGATAGGTTTCTCTTAGATGGACAAGTGCAATCTTTATCGTCCCTTTCGGTGGATTGCCTATACTTATTATGCAATAGAAATACTTAAAATAAATATAAGTATTTTTTTCGAATTCTGAAATCTACTGCATCCACTATTAGTTACGGTTTAGAAAACTCTCTGCCTAATAACCTTATATACTACATAAATATTATTTTTTGTTACTGCTATTACTGAAAAAGATTATCAACTCATCTATCTATTGCATACCATGTTTCTTTTATCTCAATAAAGGTATGATCGATTATAATTAATATCGATAGTAATATTAAGTATTCATCACTTAATAAACGAACTTTTTCGACCAAACCAATGATTTGGACTGCATAATTGTGTGGTGAAAAAAACTTTTTTCAAGTTCTTTTATGACATTTATGGAAGATATTTTGTATTGTAAAAAGGATACGTTCTCCGTCTTCGCATGTAACTTGACCCTTGTATTCAGGCACGAATGGTCGAAGTACATCCCTCATCAGAATCTGAAATAAAAAAAGAACTTGATTAGAAGTGGACTATGTACACATGTATAGGATTATCTAAATAACAAATATAATTATCTTTCTAGTACTTATATTTGTATTACTTTGTGAAGTTAACAGATCGAGACATTAAACGTAAGAATTGCCGCATTATAATCACAGGTGGCCAAACCATAACTATCGTGTTTACATGTATAATGTATTATATAATAAGGCTTTAGTTTCGTTTTGCTTATTGGCTGAATGTGCTAATCTCTCTCTCTCTCTCCCTTTTTGGAACTCCTAGAACCAACCTCACATGCACATTGTGCAACCTGACGAACAAAGGACGAGGCTCTGGCGACCGACTCATGGCAGTGTAAACACACCACACTGCGGAAATATCTAGATTTTGATACTGGTGTCGACCAGCGTCACCAGATAAATGATTACCTCCACTGCGGTCACCAACCCCCTTGCCAAGGGTGGTAACTATGGCTATGTATAATGTGTATGTATTTACAACAAAAAGTATATAAGTATTCTATCAGTCAATCTATCAGTCTTTCATAGTACAAGCTCTGCTTAGTATTATTATTATTATTATATATACGCTATTTAATTATACGCTATTTAATTACGCAACGATCTTTTAAAACTGTAAAGTTAGTAAAAACTGTAAAGTAACAATAAATAAGAGTGAAACTGCTTGAAATGACTAGTAATGTAATAAATTTAAGTATTGGTACATCTTAACTCTAAACGAAAATCTGAACTAAATGAAATAATTATCATCAAAATGTTTTAATAAGTGAACGTTGACCCATGTTACATCAGCGAAGTATAGTTACTAATATTGACCACCGTAGGTACTAAACAACTGGATGTAAAATGACTAAGCATGTTTCTAAAACAATTGACTAATTAGTTGCCATTGTTTAAAACAGACACAACTTTGGCTTCGATAGTTTTTTACAGTGGGAGAGCATGGCAGTGGCATATAGCAGGGCTCAACCGGAGTGATACCAGGGCCAAAGTCTTTGGTCGCTTTACCGGAGAGGCCGTACCTTAGAAGTTACCAGGTACAGGTACCTATTCACTCAAGGACAACAACGCATTTGTCACTCTTGAAATGATTGTGTCTTTGGGCGGTGATAGACAATTACCTTCAGGTGATCCGATTGCTTGGCCTCCTAAACCATAATAAAGTGTTTTAGACAACTCTTTTGTAGCGCTAGGAGGCATTCATAAAATACTTGAAATAAATTACATAATAATGATCAATAGTGACATCGTAAAACGTCATAATTTTTATCTGGTTTTGATGTTTATTCACAACAGATCACAAGTTATCCAAATGTTAAATTCAATAAGCGATATGAATCATTTTTTGTTTCAATAAATAAAACAATACAATGGAGTATTAAATACGACCTTCTAAATCCAACAGATGACGGTATTTTAAACAAAATATACAGCGTATAGACGTCAACATGAGAAAAATGACGTATTTCATTTCAATGCGAATATATGAATTAGGTATATACGAGTATAAGTCTTGCACATGTAGTGTTTGTCAATTTAAACGAAAGTTGGCAGACAAAGAGCGTTGACTTCCTTTGCATTTTTTTTAAAGAATTAAAAAAGTAAAGGTTGTCATTTTGGCTCAGAAGTTAGCCATATATGAAACGATTTGAAAAATGCTTTTTTCCTTTAAAGATCTTGTGTTGAAAAAGGGTTCTAGTTTGGTCCCATTAAAATTGTAAAGAAAATCCACCCCTAAGAGTGAAAACAGAGGAATAAAAAATTCGTTTCATTACAATTCATTTCGATGTATTTAATCATTTAAGTGGGAGATAATTTTTTAAAGTTAAGGTATATCGATTTTTATAATTTTCCCTTTGCCCTCAGAGTAACCATGATTTTATTCTATTTGACTAAGTAATAAGGTCGTACTCAATGTAATTGCGCATATTCTGTTGAGGAATAAGGCAGCAAACCTTGCAAGTTTGACTGTGGTTACAAAAAACCCACAACGAACAGCTCATAAGCTTCAGACTTAAAACAATTTTCTTAATAGAGGATCTACGTCAATCTAATTAGGTTGCTTTTTACTTGACTCATATAATTTATTATTTTTGAATTTTTACCGCTGATTTTTAACTGCGAAGGCGTTGTTGTGACGTGCAAACGTATAATCGTCACTCCAATAGATGTCTTTCAGAAGAGGCGCTACATATCTTTAATCTTTTTATAGCCATAACACGGGTAATAAGACCGGTTTGAATTATCTACTGATGACGATGATGACAGTTAATTACGTAAGAAATTAATCTGATATGAATGTAATTTAATATCTGTAAACAATAAAGCGTTGAGTGATGCAGTACCACAAACATTTGCATATTATATATTAAAGGCATTTATGTAAAACACTGCAGCGACAGGAAAAATGATAACGTAACGATATTTGCTCAAATATGTTACCACCTTCCTTCGTTGTGTCGTTCTATACGATTAATCTTGTCCAAGGTCGAGTCATGAAATATGGTATAATAAATGGACTGGCAGTGAGAGATAAAAAGCTAACATATGATGATAGAAAACCAGTATTTCAATTGTATTTTTTTTACGTTGACGGTTGATTACGCTATTGATTTAATACAATGATTAAAACCCAAAAACCTATGTACGTCGCAATTGTATATTGATATTCTAAAATAATAATTCCCTTTAGTTATATTACGTTACGAAGTTGAATTGTAAGCGTAACCCTAATTCACGCTAAATAATAATAATAATATAAATCGCACACCTCACACACGGCAGTCTGATCCCAAACTAGGCAGAGCCTGTACCATGGTAACCAGACTGCTGATAAACATACTTATATATTTTTAAATACATACATATTATAGATAAATTACACCCAGACACAGAACAAATGACCGTTCTCATATCACACAATATTTGTCCTGGGTGGGAATCGAACCCACGACCTCCGATTTAGCAGTCAGGGTCACTAACCACTAGACCAACAGGCCCGTTATATTTTTCATTTATATGTAAGTCTACTTAAAATTAATGAAGACCAAGATGTTATTACTGCGTCTAGTGTTCCTGACGTCTTTACAGCGGTTGTTGACTTTAGAAAACATGAACGGTAAAAAAACACATGATTCATAGAAGAATTAGTTATCACCAAACGAATGTGCTTCGTTTTACTATATTTGACTAAATCATGGACATCGATAAGGTGTAAATTTTAAATAATTGTCTCCATACATGGAAATAATTGTTTGTAACACTGCGTGAAATTTAGCATTAAATGACGGGCTCAGGAAAATCACTATTAAATATCTGGAATGTTCTTGTGTGATTTAGAGAAAACAACATAATCTTTACGCTTGTAAACCTTCACCTACTTAACGAGGAAAGCAAGAGATAGGTAGATACTCAAACATTTCATCATCAAGCACGTAAATTGAACTAAAGTCTAATTATCTTGTAATTAAAGTCAAATAACCTAAATTTGTTAATAACGCTTCTGTGGAACTATAACTTTGATACGAGCGAAGTCGAAGTGTAAAGCCTGCTTTAGGTTTGTCGTCTTATTGTCAAGGTGAATTAAGGTTTACTATATACTATTTTATAGACTGTTGATATCCCAAAAATATGTGTAAAAACCAACCTTAAAACATTTTTCTTCCTGAGCACAAAGCTTCTTTAATATGGTTCCCTGGTCAGGTCCAGCTTTGAAGTTGCCCTGGTGACCGGCTAGTTGTATCCAAGGGTACCGTTGCTTTTTGTAAGTTTGAAAGAATGGCGTCCACTGCACGATGTTACGGAGCTTACGCCACCTTTCTGATTGCTGAAATGGAAAATAACACCGGGGATTAATAAAAGCGAACAGGTTACTCTCTTTGTGTAGTTAAAAATAATGGAATAACAGTACTTTCAATTGATTATACCTAAATCAAGTCATGTGACATAGTATCTTTGCTCCATTAGATGTAGGCGGGAACAGTATCATATGGGGGATTCCAGCCCTTCCATTTCCTCTACGATTTAAGTTAACGAACAAATGTTTAATGGATGTATCCGAAAGGATGAAAACCGTTTTGCAACAAACGAAAAAAGTCAGTGTTAGAGGTGTATAATTATCTATCACTTTTTTATCAAACCAACCTTCGAACGTGTGTTAAATAGAGTATACAAAAATATCAGTAGGAAGATCCTCATTTTTAAGGTCGATACCAGGTAGTACTTAACACGAGGCACTACCTCTCTTTTTAAGTTGGTTAAATAAATTTTATGTTTATTTTTTTAATTTTCAAAGTAATTGTATAATTAATCATTAAGATTTAATACGAATTAATTAAGTAAGGATTATAGATACTTAAAACTAAATACGTAAAATACGGGATAAATGCGATACAAAATATAAAGGCTCTTTATATGGCGAATTTAATACGTAGTAACTATTTATAGCAACTGTTTAACTACAGTTAGCAAATCAATATGTTTACTAGTTATATCTTTATAATGGCTGGGATTATGACGCAAATATCTTAATTAGTTAATCGTAATTTCCTTAATATAAATAATGATAAATATTATCAATAATGCGGGAAAACTTTTGCAGTTAAGCTTTTCTACGCTCTTCTCTTGTATTTCTTTTCTATGCGAAAGATATAACACATAATTTTTATACTGGTAATCTTTACCTTGTTTTAAAAACTTCTTTCTAAAACAATAAATGATATCTGCATTATATACCATTATTTGCACATGTTTAAATATATATATGCAAATCATAAGTATTTAAAAACTAAATAGAATAGGTGCATACCTATTCTTTTCAGCTTTTAAATACTATTAAAGATAAGTTTTAAATCATTGGTAGTTAGATGTGACCATTCTAATAGACAAACTGAAAAATATAAAAATTATTATCTACAGTATTGCCTTAAGAATAATGCCTTGTTAAGTGGACAAATTAATATTAAGTACAATAATTATGATTATTTTACTGTACATTTTCATGTAGTATTTTTTTTTATAATTTAATAACAACCATTATATTTAAATTTACAAACAAGTAAAAAAAGAAGTTAAAACCTGATTTGTATAAAATAAATAAAATAAAAAAACACTCCTCTATTGTCCCTTTTATAATCCATCCACCATCTTGTGTTATGTCATTTAATTTATCATGGATATACGCGCTACTTTTCTAGCTAGCGTCGTCGTATAGACTCATGCAAATCTTACCAAATGCATAATGGCCGATTGTTACCTTTTAAATTAGGAATTACGTAGGTACTGTTCATGTCACTAAGTGATTAGGTATGCCTAATAAGGTACAAGTAACCAAAACAATATTTTATCCCTATTCATTAGCCACATACTGTTTACCAATGCGTCATTAATTTAATATGAAGGATAAGTAGACCGTTAATTAGTTCAACTAAATGATAAGTCTCCTTCATTATACTATTTACAAATGTATTTTCTATAAATTCTATTTTTTTTATTCTTATTTGTCATATTCTGTGAAATCTGTGATAAATTTAAGAAATTTGGATTTTAAATTTGGAATAACAACCTCGATCAACGCATTCTTTGAATTACTGGCAGGTAGGCACTGACAACACCTTATACCTAGGTCCTTTATTTTTTTTAAATTGATGTTAATAATAATTGACAGCCAACATTTCATTCTTGAAGGACCATACTTTTTGTGGCGGATTTGATTCTTAATAACCACATTTAAAACAAAAACATAGTAACAGGACGAAATACCTTGCGTGGGTGGTAAAACCTGTCTGATAACGGTTTTCGATAGTTACACACACACAAATCAGGAAACTTGTAGAGTTTTGCATACCATAACAAGGCTACTTAAGTTAAATAATGAAACATGAGCTGCTCTTCCGTGTACGTACATCTCATTAGAATGATGATAAGATCGAATGATAAGAGTAATATTGGAAAAAAAAACTAAACAATATTAAATTTGAAACTGGACGAACTACCTGCGGAATGGGTATTAATGGGTACACACCATTGAGTTAAAACAACACTAGAGAAGCAAACCTCATTATCACACGTCGAAAAAAGTGTAACCACTTTTGAACTTTGACGACGTAGCTTTGATACCACTAAACATTTGAAAGTAAACATATTTATGTCTCATTTACACGTGCGACAAGAACAATACCATCGCTCGGATTAGACAAAGACAAAGATATAACTTTACGATGGTGGGCCAGTGTTGACTACCGTATGAAATTTTACCCATAACAACTAAGAAACAATTTTTTTTTAAAACAATTTTGTAATAAAATAAATTAATATAAATATTCTAAATAATATATTTCGAATTGAATAGAATAGGTATAAATAATAAAATAACTGGAAATATTTGGTTAAAAAGGTTTATATTCAGTGTAAAATCAAACTGCGCTGTGAAGCATCAGTTTTGTATACAATTGTCTTTTAGACTCTTTTTTATAAAAGTTTGTGTGGATATTTTACTTTCATGATACAATCTTATTTTTACGTATGTAAAAATAATAGCATTTAATAATAAAAGTGAATGATCAACTTGTACTGATAATAAATAATCCCCAGGGTGTATTGCAAATTCTATTATAATTTAAAAAAAAAAATATTTTTATTTTATAAAAAAAAATATTTATGTTTATTTACTTTTTTATTTTACATTTTTATGATAAACATTTATTATTATTATAATTATTTTGTACAATTATTATTTAAAATTGATAATAAATTAAGAAAAACAATGAATTAATTTTTTTGTACAAGTCTCCAGCACTGCGAGCTTGGCACGCTCGCAGTGAACGTTTAACGGGTCCCTAAAAAAAGGGATCGGTCCAGCCCTAACAACTAACCCTACTTCCTATATTTTATTATTATTGGCAAAATGTTTAAAAACAGTATAAAGCATATTATTTCATAAATTATAAATTCTCCCACTAATGTGGGAAAACCAAAATGATTTTTTAATGGTAACACTGATTCTAAATTACAATTATCAGTGTTTACTTTCAATTATAGCCTTATTTACGATATTATCAATACAAAAAACATAAACTTACACGTGAAAAGTAATTCCGCATGATTTATTAATGTTTAGTGACCTTGAATCGCATTCTTTCACTACGCATTTAGCCATTTTGGCGATTGTTACTGTCATGTGTCGCTATGTTCAACTCGGTTGACGCCACATTGAATAATGAATTGACGTTTGCTACGCATATGCCTGTGGACATATGTGCAGTAGCAACGATTTTAGGCGGTAATTACTCATCTATGTAAATATTATATCAATGGTACACACGTTTAAACCATGAAAAAAGGTAGGGAATATGTAACAATTAAATTTAGTTTCTTGTTTTTTACTGGGCAATGGCAAAATGAGACTGAAAACACAAACAAAATAACACAAGTTTTTTTGTAACTAAATAAACCAACCTTTTTATGGCTGTGTACGTAAACACAGAACACGACATCCATAAAATCCTCAATGGTCACACATATGTCGGCCGAATACATTGTTTCAAATAATAACACTGGCCACTAAACACTCGAGAACTTGAAACACGTCTAACAATTCGCAGAGATTCAAGGCAAGTAATACTGTGCGTCGCGACTCGGAACACTCAACACACTGGATGGGCAACCCGCTTCAACACCAATACATATAACCACACACATTTATTAACACTGACTCACACCAAAGACTGTACCGACCCTATGACGTAAGTGTTACGTAGATCTACGATGTTCAATTTTATGGAAATCCAGTTACCGCACTGTTCCAAAAAATTGTACTACAATTCTTTGAACTTCTTCGTTACTGTGTATGTAGTGAAGAATTGACGCACTTTGTGGAATCATTAGTCGTCAAAGACAATAAAATTCTACAAACATCGAATTATATTTAATAATCAATTTAAACGTTAGTACATAACAAACAAAAGAATGTATTTTTTGAGATGGTAAAAAACCATTGAACTCGCGGCACTGTTACCGTTACCGACACCTCTGAATATAATTATCTACATATATTGGCCCCGTTTACACGAGAGTTGAGTTTGGATTGAAATAAATAGATAATATAACTATATATAATATACACATACATTGTGTATATACGTACAACATAGATATGCTCGTACATTCATGTCGGCACTCCCGGAGTGCTCCTATTTTTTTTTGGGCTATTATTACCTAATTTTAGCTTTGATACAGATATGCAAGGATACTATTTCATATTATTTGTTACAAACTTTTTACAATGAATAAAAATTTCTGTTCTGGGCGAAAATCGTGAGTAACGAATTTAGATTTTTTTTTATTATTAATATTTTCCCCAGTTGATAATAATTAGTCAAAGAAATATTATTAGGTATAAATAATATAGGTAGAAATATGCTTATTTCCACTGTCACACTTTTTTTTATACAATGTATGTAATAACAGAAAAATATGATACACATTACAGCCTTTCCCAAAAAAACTTAGTTTATCCGTGTTCTGTGGGAAAGGCTGTGTACTGTATCCAAAAAACTATTTGCTCTTTTTTAAACTAAATTTTAGAATAATTATGTAGTAATCCATACATCCATCTATTATTGAAATAAACATTCCATTGGCAAACATATTGACTACCTTCACTTTACACATTGTCATAAAGACGCTAACTATAAGCGTTTAAATCGAAATCCGTCTAATACACACACACAAACACACATTTTCGCATTTATTACGTAAATGACGGTTAATTAGTTCCGTTAGTGAAAATAAACAATGTTTAATCAATACTGTCGATCGTCATTTGTA